GCCTCGCCTCCCCTCGCCTCGCCGCGCCTCGCCTGGCCGCTCGCCGCCGCGGAGGGGCGGCGCTGCTCCCTGCACGCCCCCGCCCGGCACCCCCGCTCCGTCTCCGGAAAGGACGCGGGGAGCCCCACGCTCCCCCTCAGCGCGGCGGCGGAGTTCGAGCCGGTGGCGGCGGCCGGGGTGCGATGCCGTGTTAGCCGGCGGCCCGCCCCGAGGTAGCGCCGGCGGAAAGGAGCGCGAGTTGCCGGGGCTGTGGCTGACACCATGGGCACCGGGCGGGGGGTCGAGGCGGCCGGGCTCCCTGCGCTCCTCGGTTGAGCCCGGGGATGTGCCGGCGCCCGGAGGAATTATTTTGGAACTAGCACGGAGCGGTGGGCGGAGGACGAGCGGCACAGCGTTTCACAGCTGCAAGGAGATCGTCCGGCGGTGCTGTATAGGCAAGTAAGCTCTTGCTTCCTTTTCGCTGCGTTTCCTTCGTCTCGAGTGACTTTTTTTTTTGCAGCTGCTGGTCGCTTGCTGCCAGTTCGTTGGCAGGATGGTCGGCGGCGCCAGCAGCAGTTCTCGGGGCTTGAGGTGCGGGGGATTGGTGGCCGGGGTTGCAGGGGAGCCCCGCTCCAACTCCGCCGGAGTCCGCCGCGGGCGGAGCGCCGGTGCGGTGCTCCGGTGCATAGCCGGCAAGGGAGCTCCGTGTCCCAGTGCTAACCACTTCTGCAACTGTAAGAGATTATGCCTTTTTTTCAGGCATTTCCTAATGTAAAATGCCTTCTCCTCTTTGCTGAGCTGTAACTAAATTGCAGGAGTCCCTTAATTGCTTTCCATCAATGCTTCTTGTGGGAGAATTCAAGAAGCATGTTAGGCTTTCATACGCACTTATGGATTCAGATAGTGAACCCGGAGTTTTGATTTTTATGCCCTTAACTTTGTTATGCCCTGCCTGGTGTTCTTCCTTGAGATGCTCTTGCTGTGAGGTTATGGCTTGTCCAGCCTTGTTTGTTTGCTTTTAGCCTGTGGATATTTATTGCCACACTTGACATGGCAATGAAGGAAAAGTTGACTGTAATTTATTTCAGTGTATGGAGGACAGGTTGCAGGCAGGGGACTAATTCTTCTCTCAGAGGAACTCCGCTTCAAAGGAAGAGGCCCATGGGGCTGTAATCTGTAGCTGAAAACTCGGAGAGCTCAGAGCAGACTGGTCACGCTGCAAAGAACGAGTTCTGTTCACCTTTCAGCAGTGATAGCGTTTAAGCTAAGCTGCCTGCCTTCCCGTACCTGTGAAAAGACCTGACTTTGAAATGCAGGGAATAGAGATGTGAATTCTGGGCAGGTTTGGGAGAAGGCAGGACTTTAGGCACTGCTTAATTAAGTTTGCTCTTACTGATTTCCTCAGTGTCTTCTCTATGATCCTGAAAATGGCAATCTGTTACAGTGACCTTGTTGCATGTTGTATTCTAACATGAAAGCGGCACAGAATAAAAGTATTTACACATATTTACAGCTAAGCTCTGATGTTTCACTAGGAGCTCATTCAGTTTCAGTCAGTGTGGTAGTTTCAGCAGGGGCACTGGGCATGGTATGTGTGTAGGAAATAACTTGGGAAAATAACTTGCTAATAGTGATGAAAGTAAAAGTTGAAGTGTTGGCAATGTATGTTTCTGCAGAAATGCCACTGTGTATGAAATGTCTGTTGAATTTTGGATATTTCGTTTTCTAATCAGTGAGATCTGTACTGAAAGGAGTGTGTGGGTGTGTGTGGAAATCTCAAGGCTTCCCAGGTTAATGCACTTTGAGTTGTCAGCAGCAAGAGATCTTTTTATGCACTGAAATACACATTTTTATGTAGATACAAGATTGACATGATACGATTAAAAAGTGTTGGGATGTCAATATGGTGAATGTGTATCTGACTCAAGTTTATAGCTGAAAGATAAACTAATCCTTTCCTGTAATGGTGGAAGGTGATCTGCCTGAAGGGAGTGTCATTTGTTTCAGTGCAGTTTATGGAGAATGTTCATATTTCCATCTCTCTGATGAAGCTGTGAAACACAATTAGAATAACTGCTGCTAGACAGTGGGATGCAAACCTATCCATTACTTAAAACACTCAGCTTATTCTGCCTCATATGAAAAAAAGTATAGTTTCTGGCAAAGTCTGCCTATGGTTCTGTTGTAGTAATTCCTTCCTCTGTTGCAGAGTGGCAGGCTTTCACTAGGCATGTGCAAGGGAGAACATGAAACACTGAAGCATGCTCTAATCTGGAATTAATTTGGGCTATATATTACATTCGAGGTTTCCACAGTTAGCATAATTAAGTGCTTATGCCTGATTATATGAATAAACGGGGTTTAAAAATGGTATTAACTTTGTCACTTGTGGTGCATAGTGCAGAGTCTTCTTCCTTTTTAGTCTTTCAAACTAATCTAATGCTATACTCATTCTTTGCATGGAGAAGAAGAAAACATAATTTAATGATTTATCATTTGGCTTTTGCCATGTCTTGTCCCATTGCTATGAGATAATCTAATGAAGGACCCCATCACTGAATTAAAAGACATGGTGCTTTAGACTTTCACTTACAGTCAGATTTCCCCTCTTTTACATGGCTAAAGAACCGAGTTTTAACAAGATCTGAGAAAAAAAAAATGTTGCTTTTTCTGTTAGAAACTTGAAAGAAAGGGGAAGGTAACACTTGAGGTCTTTAAAGACATAATTAAAAACATCCACTTTTAAGATACTAATCAACCTCCTTTACCTTCACACATTTCTTTATCTTTTACTTGGTACTTGTGAGAAAGCCTTTCTGCATATTAGTACTTTATTTTACAATATGTGTAGTTCTTAATTTTAAAAATTCAGGAGTGGCCATCACACACTTCATTCTAAGGCTATTCTAGAATCCTGTTTAATGTTCTGTATTCCACTTGGCTTGTATCTTTTGAATTGGAGATTTCCAAAGCACACTATATTCAACTTTATAGTATGCATTTTTGTTTTAATTGTAGATAAATCTCTTTACTAGAGAAGATTGTTGACCTTGATTCAGAAATTTCAGGGCAAGCTCAGAAGTTATTTTTCTTCCCTAATTTTTTTTTTTTTTGTGTTTTCTCAGTCGTGCTTTTTGGGCATAGCTTTCGTGAACTGACAGAGACACCTACAAGCAAAATGAAAAACACCAACAATTAAATGTGATTTTTCTAGTCAGTCCAACGCAGTTGAATATGTAATTTCTATTTATTAATCTTAGATTGAATATTAAGACAAACAAACAAGAGCTGTAGTCTGCTCTCAGTTCTTCCCTCTGAAGCGCTCAAGTACCATTTCTTCATTCTTGTAGCATAGCACTGGTCCTTGTGCCTGAGCTGTCACTATTTCCTTCTGGTAGTCATCACCAGGTCTGCTTGCATTCACTGTTAAAAAGCTAAAGTGTTGTTGTGAATGATAAGAAACATCAAATGAATTTAATGTGTCTTGTTTCTTAGCCCTTCACATGGCTGTGCTTTCAGTTCAGGTTTCCTGAGTCCTGAATTTGGTTTGGGTTGAATCCCAACATGAGTCTGCTACATCAACATATACCTCTGGCAGTATGCTGTGACACTGGCTCAGCATGATTACACAGACAAACTTCTGTATTTGCTCAGTTTTGTCTGCCACAACTGGAAGAGTCAGAAAACCTTACTGTTTTTGTGGCCAACTTAGATTTTCTGCATTCCTGTTGCAGATCAGAGAAAAGAGAGAAAGCATACATTAAAAAAACCAAAAACCAAAAAACCCAGAACTTAAAACAGGTCATGTCTCAAAGATGTAGCTATAATTAACACCAGGGAATGCAGTGGAGATACATCCAGGGAAATTCACACATGTATTTAATTATCCAAGGAGGAAATTATTATTCATCTTGAGATATTGATTTAGTCTTAAGAGATTGATTTAGTAGGTGATGTGCCTACTCCTTATGAAGAAGAGGAGCTATGTGGTACAGAAACAAAGCGTTTTTCCACTGCAGACTTGAGTTGTGGCTCTCACTGTCATTTGGGACTCTAAGCCTTCTCTTCAGTAATTAGCTCGAATTGGCCAAAAGAGGTGGAACGCTCTGATGTGTGATGAAGCTGGGGCTGCAGCAGCCAAGGGCTGGGTTGTTTCCTGGGGACTTGGTCTCTTCAATTTATTAAAGTAATGAGTAGAGAAAAACTAATCAAGAAGAGTGTTTGGGATGAGATTAATTTTATGATTTGTTCTCTGGTTTATTTTGGGTAATGTTGGGCAGAATCATAAAAGTTCTTCACTGTGATACTTACACGAGAGTAGTGTTAGTTTTGACAGACATATATAAAGATATGTAATATATTTATTTATTTATTTAACATAAATACATGTTCTGTAAACTGGGATTAAGGCTTTGCACATGAGACCAGAACATGGATAAATGAAACTGCTGGATACAGTTTGCTGTGCCACTCAGGCACTTCAGAGATAAGGAATGGATGGTTTATGAAAGGCTGTGCTGTATCTTCCACCATGAAAAGCAGGAGGTCCCTCATGCCAGGAACTGAGCACAGCTGAAACAGTCATGCCCTGAAGGTGGCAGTGGATGTTCCCAGTGTGGAATAAAACTTGGAGCAGAGTGAAAGTCCCACACCGGTGTTCACAGATGCTTTACTGCTTTAATACTGGCATGGTAACTGAGTCTGTGAAAGAACTCATGGCTTCAGGGATGCTGTGGGTGCAATTGATTGATTCCACAGGTGGTTATCATCTGGAACAGGGATGAATTTTTAATTTTTTTCTATAAAGTTTGTTCCTTGCTCTTAGATTTGGGTGTTCATTCCTTGGTTGGTTGAGATTTTGGTTCAAAGGTATGCTTTTAAAGCTGACAAACATCAAGCACTTTTGAAGTGTTCATTACTTGGAGCTTTTGAGAGGAGGAACAATTTATTCATCAGATTATTCTGAAGTTTGGCTTTATTTTATTTTTTGTTCATTCTCAGTGTGTTTTTTCAAATAGTGAACAGTGTACTTGGTTTCATGTTGAAGATGTTAGAAATGGCATTTTAAGTTGCATTTTATATTGGCATTTTATATTGCTTTTTGGTCAAATTATTCAAATAGACTCTGATTTAAGTGTGAATAAAAGCTATTTGAGTAAAAAAACCCACATGCCTTTTCCCTTCCACTTTTTGTATTGAATTTATTGTAAAAACAGCTAACCATAAAGAAGTGAGAATGGGAGTGCTGTTTATGACGTTCATATTTCTTCTGCTTTCTGTCAAAAACTAAAGGGAATTTCATAATCTTGTACAAATGACAGACTATCATGAGTGATAGTAATCATGTCCTCCAATTCTTTCTTGGTGTAAAGACTATTTTGCTATTTTTTTTTAATTTAGTGTAAAATTGTCATTGATTTCAACAGGTATAATATTAAGAAAATGAGAATATTTA